CAATACACAAGGGCAACATATACCAAAGCCTCGACACCCACTATATAATATATACTACAACGTTGATAAACAGTGGGAAAATATACCACAGCGACAACGCACAATTTAACATATATATTACTGCGTCAAGTTAATAATAGCTAATTCTGATAATAGATTTAAAAGGCCTTATCAATCGCAAATATGTTTTGTGTCCGATTGTGTGTGAAAATAAGGTAAGGTTCGATGTTTACATCTGACGTGACGACCTTTTGTCATGTGACAAGAATTGTTGATCTAATCATCTGTCCATTGCGTGCTTAGTTTGCCGTGACATCTTGATAATTAACAAGGAAGTAAATTTAAATTAGACACAGTCTAAACTTCAAAATAAACCTATTTAAGTGTGCATGTATATAGCGCATAGTTAATCGCAATAATTGTAAGCGTACTTACTTAAGCACACTCACATTTTAGTGGAAAGGAGAACGTAAAATGTATTATGGCAATACTAAGTAAGCGGAATCGCAGTACCAATATTCTTTTATTAGCCCGAATGTCGTTTTCTGAAATAGACTGTAACAATGGGTTCTTTTATTAGAACGTATGTCGTTTTCTGAAATAGACTGTAACATTGGGTGAGCAGCTAATGTATCGAAACTTTCCTATAGAACGGAGAGTCAGATAATTGGGTGAAATTCAAGCATTTTTGTCATGTTTGTATGACCTTTAAAGTGGATCAAGTCATTCATTTGAACTATTTGGTATTTCTTTATCCAATCATTCTTCTTGCCAAATATCATTCCCATGGACCTATGGGTTGAAGGGAATCAATCGTTTTAAGAAAAAAAGTTGACGCCGTACGATGATGGACGAAAGACGCCGTACCACAGCATAAGCTCAATTTTCCCAAAAACAAACTAAAGCAAACGAGTTTTGCTTTTTATTCATTAGTTTTATCCTTGTTAAAAACGAAGTTTTAATTTCATATAAAGTCATTCATTATATTGTGTTATATATGTCAGCATTTTCTCGTGCACAACTGTAAGTATTTTATAAAACATATTTCTGAAATTGGTTTTAAACGTGCTGCTAGATTGCGTTTTGTGTGATTTGTCCCGAAAAACAAAACATGTTGTTTATTATTGGACAAAAACATCTTCAATATGTTACTGTACTACTGGCCAAATGAAAGTAATAAGACAGTTTTTTTTGACATGATGAAACTACAATGCCAGTTGGAGAAGTTACGATAAATCTGGGTATTGTTTATGTTACTTGTCCTCATATTTTGGTGAAACACCTCCTCATTTACGAGAGATATCTTTTTGTGACGACATTTGCTCTTTTGCACCGTGGTATTTTTTTTTTCTATTCTGCTTCCAAGGTATCAGTATGTGCATGCATGTCTTCTAATTATCGAATTCGTTAATTTGGTATTCAATTCAGAGATTAAGTATATCTAAGTGAAAAATTTTGTTTATAAACACTTTGTTATTAAGAAAAAACAAAACTATTCAATCAGGTCGGTGGCAGTACTGTTATGCCATTACATTTTTTCAAAACACGAAAACGTGAATACACATTTTAACACCTTTTTACTAGTATACGGTCGATATGTTTGTGATATTATCCTCATATTGATCCCAGTACTAGGACCTTCATAGTCAATACACCTGTTATCGGGCCTTAACTACATATCCTTGTTATGTACTTATATACAATAACATATCCTTGTTATGTAAGTATATACAATAACATATCCTTGTTATGTAATTATATACAATAACATATCCTTGTTATGGAATTATATACAATAACATATCCTTGTTATGTAATTATATACAATAACATATCCTTGTCTGTATGAAATTATTAACAATAACATATCCTTATCTGTATGAAATTATTAACAATTACATATCTTCGTTGGTATGAAATTATCAACAATTACATATCTTTATTATGCAATAATACCTTCTCTACGACTTTTGATATTAGAAGACTTTCCTTGTCTGTGATGTTAAGAACTTCTCAAGCTATATTTTCTTTCTGTTAATGCATTAGTCTGAAATTGGCGTTTAATAAACAGCTTTAGCTGATATTCATGTAATTTTTGAAACACGAGTTATGAAAAATAATAGCATAGCGGCTGCCCTATAGAGAGATTTGTGAAAAAAGACGTAATTTGTCTACAGGATTTTATGTTTCATAAATTATTTAATTTCTCATGACTAGCTTAGGTATTAAGGTCATAGGAGTGTATTGATAAACGGAAGTAGGAAGTACATCCCTTGTTGAAAATCCAATGTAGGGAGACAGTATCACAATTTCCGCATATTCTAATGTTTAATATTAAACTGATGAATATTGTATGTTTATTATTGACAGAACAGTGTTTTCTCTCAATATCAAAGTGTTTCAAAGCAATGCAGACATTAATTCAGGTGTGTTTTTATCAATGAGCTAAACGTATCCATTTTTCTGTACTTCAGGAAACCGGCTACCTAATTCACTACTGTGAATTTTTTCAAGGAAGATAACTCTTACCTGCAATTACTATGTGCATATGGTTTTATTATAAAATGTCAATTTTTAATCGTTTATAGATAATTTATTAGACATAATTTCAGCATTTATTAAATTGCTATACATTAATGCAATACTAATCTATGGTAGTGTCATGTTTATTGACATTATTTTGCAAAAAAATGTGTTTTTCATTTTTTTTTCCAAAGTCACTCCTTTTTCCATGAATTTCCATTTAAATTCCTTAAAATTTTGACAACCTCTATTTTTTGGTGGCTGAAAATGTTCTTTCCCTCAAAGCAATATAACTACAAAATTTGAAGAAATTCTACTGAGAAATGGCGACACAATCCTATTACCTTATTGAATGATATTTTTATACCATGTATGTTTTAGACGTTTTTACTATATTACCATTTATTTCGTCATGAATTTATACCTTACGAGTCTAAGGAACGTTTTACTATTAAATACTTACCATATTCGCCATTTCGATCTCCCCTTCGTTCATATTGTTACATATGTAGCGTCCTTCTTTTAACACATGCTAGTATTGTATACACTCTCCTTTTAACACATGCTAGTATTGTATACACTCTCCTTTTAACACATACTAGTATTGTATACACTCTCCTTTTAGCACATACTAGTATTGTATACACTTTCCTTTTCTGAAAAAAACACGTCTTTTATTCTTCCTCGACACGTTGTATATGTTTAAACCATATTTTTCTGATAAGTAAACACGATTCGAATTTTGAAATGTGTCACACAGTTACAATTTCTTACATTGCTAACCTTTAATTTGTTCGTGTCCCTTCCTTTTCTACAGTCTATAGGCGATCTGTGCGCTCATTACAACGAATCTAGAGCATACATTTATTTTAAATATTTTAGTAGAAATACATTACACTGCTATCCTTTAAAAAGACTATAGTTTGTTGTCTTCGCGGTCAATAACGGTTTTATTCATATAAATTGTTATAATTATAGTAAATAAAGACATATAAATAATTGTCCAGTGTCGCTGTATACAGGTAAACAATCCACTGTTCATAGTTACAACAACACTAAAATGATTAATAATGACAATTAAGTAATAATTTGAGGCATTATAATGGGAATTAAAGACATTACATCATTTATAATGACTTATAAAACTACATAGAGCGCTGTCCATACACAATTGCTTGTCAAGGTAAATTTTCGACACCCTAAAAACTAAAATTAGTTTTGTTTTACAACAATCAAAAACAACTAACATCAAAGTATATAAGTCATTTGTTGGCCCGGTTATAAACATGCAAAACAACCGAAGTTCAACGTTTTCTTTGATATTTATTAATGTAAACTTTCTGTACTTATTGCAAAAGGATACCATACTGTCGAGCTTTTTAATGAATGAATGTATATTCCCAGTAATTAGTTTTTTGCAGATTTTGAAAGCATATAAATCTACGCGGATTCATCCAACGTTTTCGTTTTTATTTTGTTATTGTTCGTTGTTTCATAATCAGATAACAAATATGGTCCGAAAACTCAAAATAATTTATTTAGCCAAGCATTTGGATGCGCACGCATATTCAGTTTCCTGTTTGTGATTCAAGCCTGTTTACAGAAAACCAAAACCGGAGACTATGCTTTGAAGCACCCATTTAAAACAAGCTTTATCTAACACGACCCGCCTTCAACCTTGAAAGAAGATTTGGAACTTCCCGAAGCCTGTCGTAACGATAATTTGATCATTGTGATATCTCCCTCGGCTAGTATTTTAACGGGGTTGAAACATGTGATAGTCGGAGAAAATAATACAGGTCGATAACTAAACAACACTGACTCAAAATATTTCCACGATCCAGGTCACAAAGAACAAAAATGGTGCTGTGATCTCAGTCAGTCATAGACCTAAAGATTAGCATCAAATTAAATATAATTCTCCAACACCTCAACTATCAATACTGCCTGTCTTCTATGACAATGGTCTCATTAAAGATTGCTGATAAGATATTAAAAACCTGCGTATCTTAATATCAGGTTAGCGTACACGTTAAGTTGACAAGATGACAAAAGGTTGGTATCGGATTTCAGGTAGCGTTTAAAGTCACCATTTATTGGATATGTTCGGTTAGCTTGATACTGCAATGTTTAGAAAATTACAATAATGATATATATACTCTTAAGATGTAAAAATATAACGTGCCTTTATTTATTGTCAAATATCAACATACATTAACAAAAGTTTAATAATACCTTTTTTATATAACGGAGGTCAAGGAACAGAATGCACGCTATGGTGTTCGTACGTGAGAATTTAACCCATTCACCCCTAAAGTCACATTTGAACTCTACCAAATCAAAGACTTAACAGGTCCATTTAAAATATGTAGGGATGAATGAGTTAAAGATGTTTAATACAACAGCAGATATGATTAACAGATTAACTTTGCGCCGGTGAATGCTTTGATCCAATCTAGAACGCTAAAGCCTTAGTTTTAAAACAACGGGATGCCAGAACACTCGAATAATGCCGGTGTTAGTCGCGTTATATTAAATGATATACAATTGATATTTTTAATTTAAAGTTACTGAAGTATCATACAATCGACTAGTTGTGTTAACACGAAAAATGTGGTGTTTGGAATCTCTTCTCTATGATCTACAGTGATATACTATGATATACAACGGATATGTTATAATAGACCTGGACCATAACAGTTATAATGCTTCAATTGGGATATAGGTATATACATCGTTAATTTGTCGGTTTTGTGAGTGATGAGCATAGTTAGAAATGACGAATAACGGCCGGGGATACCTCTATCAAACATGTATAGAGTCGTATGGACCATTGGGCAATGCTTCCTGATGTGTTTATCTAGTGGATTAACACATGGGATTGACATTAATATAGACAAAGGGATTCATTCACGTGATCTACAACCACTGATCAAAAGCACGGATATACTACCCCGTCAAGGTATTTCAATAATGGTTTTCTGTTGAATAATGTATATATTAGATGGAAGTTAAGGTGAAAAACAGTGTATCTTAAGTTGAAATTTACCATTTTTATGTGATATTAAAGGTAGTGTTTGTATTAAATTAAGAACGCATTAATCATTAAATTAACCGGAAACAACTTTGTTGTAGATATTCATTCTCGTGTCAAGCGGGATTTAACGAAATTTCAAACTATAGCTGAGAATACGGGCTGGAAGGCGTACAGGAGGGGCTCCACAGATTTGTCTATTGTACTGGACCAAATTAATCTGGTACACATTTTTGTTATTGTATTGATAAGCTGAATGTTCAATCCATTTACAATATTTTAATGCTGTTTGAAATTTAGATTGATATAGAGAAAATTATAAAAAAAAAAAGTTCTGAAATGATACGATGTTTCATGCTAGGGCGAAAATTGTAGGAAAAGAATATCGCAGATTGCCTACATTTATTGAATAAACACAAAACATCTGCTGCAACTTCTGAAAGGAAAACAAATATAATTGCAAAATGGAAGACATAATGTACATGTCTCTACATTAATCATAAAAATAGAAACAAAAGCGAAGTAAATAAAAACTAATTGGAACTTGATTGATTAGTTCATTCAGAATGGTATCGATTGGCAGGGTGTGTGTTGAATAAACACCAGCAAAATCTATAACCGTCTAAAAAATGGTGAAATGTCTGGAAAAAATATTCTTAGAGTAATATCCATTCGTATGTTTACTAGACCTATGAATAATAAAGCTTAATATTCATTTTGCTGTTGTTTTTTTTTTTTTTTTTTATAATTGAATGAATTTCGACATATAGTACATGGCAGTTATGTGATGTTTTGCATAGACAATTATGATTATAAACAAGTTGAATAAAACATAAAATTCGCGTTGACTTTTCCCTAACTATTCGTGAAATTTATGGTTAAACATATATAAATTTGCAATCAAAGTTTAACACAAATTATCAAGAAACTATATAACAAGTGATGGAATATTGGCACAGTAATGTATTAAGCCTTGCCCGTCATACAATATAGCATTATAACATAAAAAGAAAGACAAAAAATAATAGAATAACACTTTACGTAATATTCCAGAGTGGTATGTCATCACAGTCAATGCTATCGCAGTACACACAAACAGTAGCTGAAAACGACACAATGGAAGTTACAGTTGACTCGGATATGACCTCTATGTATATATCTATAACGGGGCCTACCATGCTTTATGATGCTTTCTTAAGGAACCCATTAGGTATGTACTTTGTGTGTGTGCATATGTTTTTTTCTGTGTCTTTCATTTTGTTTTTGTGTCACTTGGATCCGTGTTTTTTCCGTTTTGCATTTAAGTTCCATGTTTTTCCTTTTTTATTTTACATATCCATTGCAAGATTCACTATAAGCATTATCAGAAGAAATTGCGTTCATAGAGCTATGAATGAAATTCGATCAGCGTCATTTTGAAGCTTCTCTACCTGTCTCGAATAAGATGAGACAACCGTTAGAAGCAAACATTTTGCTGACTTTTGGATCGTTAGCACTGACGACACGGACACTTCAATATCGAAAATTCAGGGAATATCTTTATTAACGTCAATGACAACTAAAACTCTAAAATGTTAATTTAAGGATTGAACATTTTATTTTCAATATTCATGTCGGTATGAACGCAATTAGGTTAACATCATGTTTACCATGAAGCTATATTGAATATATAGATGACTGATTTGCATTCATACCACTATGAAATTAAAATTATGCTACTCAATCCTTATATGTTGATGCTTTAGCATACATGTCCTATTTTCATCCACCTATGATCTTAATTAGGTCATGGGATTGTTCTTAAACTACATCGTTATTGAAATAAGTGATCAACGGATGAGTAACGATAATTTCTTATGTGTTCATATTGTGATGGTCAAGTTATGTCCGAAAAAGCATTTAGTTAACTTGGCCGAATAACTATGAGCACACCCTTTGTCAAAGCATCAATATCATCATTTCATTATTTTCATTTGTTCCAGGTGTCTACGAGTTTGCTGGCAACACGTCATCAAAATGGATGGAGAACAACACCTTGATTATGTCTGTCCAGGTAAAATATCTCTCCTGGTAAACATATCTCTCCGGGTAAACGTATTTCTATAGGTAAACATATCTCTCCAGGAAAACATGTCTTTCAAGTAAACATATCTCTCCATGTAAACATATCTCTCAGATAAACTTGTCCCTCTAGGTAAAAATGTCTCTCAGATAAACATATCTCTCAGGTAAACATGTCTCCTAGGTAAAAACATGTCTGTCCATGTAAACATATCTATCTGGGTAAACATGTCTGTCGAAGTAAACCTGTCTCTCAGGTAAACTTGTCTCTCAAGTATACATATATATCTAGTAAAGATATATCTCCAAATAAAAATGACTATAAGGGAAACAGATCTCTCCACGTAAAAATGTCTCTGAAGGTAAACATGTCTTTCAGTTAAAAATATCTCTCCAAGTAAACATATCTATCAAGTTAATACATCTTTCCTGGTAAACATGTCTCTCAGGTAAACATATCTCTCAGTTTAACATGTTTCCTTCGTAAAAATGTCTTTCCAGGTAAACATATATATCTAGGTAAACATGTCTGTCCAAGTAAACTTGTCTCTCAGGTAAACATGTCTCTCAAGTTTACATATCCTCCATGTAAACATATCTGCCAGGTTAACATATCTGCCAGGTTAACATATCTGCCAGGTTAACATATCTGCCAGGTTAACATATCTGCCAGGTTAACATATCTGCCAGGTTAACATATCTGCCAGGTTAACATATCTGCCAGGTTAACATATCTGCCAGGTTAACATATCTGCCAGGTTAACATATCTGCCAGGTTAACATATCTGCCAGGTTAACATATCTGCCAGGTTAACATATCTGCCAGGTTAACATATCTGCCAGGTTAACATATCTGCCAGGTTAACATATCTGCCAGGTTAACATATCTGCCAGGTTAACATATCTGCCAGGTTAACATATCTGCCAGGTTAACATATCTGCCAGGTTAACATATCTGCCAGGTTAACATATCTGCCAGGTTAACATATCTCGCAAGTGCACACGTCTCTCCATGTAAACATATCTCCCAGGTAAAGATATCTCTCCTGGTAAACATGTCTCTCCAGGTTAACATGTCTTTCATGTTAGCATGTCTTTCCAAGAAAACATGTCTCTCCAGGTAATTTTTTTTTGTTCTCCTGGTAAATATATCTATCAAAGTAAATATGTCTTAGACAAACAGACCTCTCCATGTAAACATGCCTGTCCAGGAAAACATGTCTCCCAGATAAACAAATGTTACCAGGTAAGCATATATCCCAAGGTAAACATTAATATCCAGTTAAACAATTTACCTCCAGGTAAACATATATCTCAAGGTAAACATATATCTCAAGGTAAACATTTCTATCCAGTTAAACAATTTACCTCCAGGTAAACATATATCTCAAGGTAAACATTTCTATCCAGTTAAACAATTTTCCTCAAGGTAAACATATATCTCAAGGTAAACGTTTCTGTCCAGTTAAACAATTTACCTCCAGGTAAACATATACCTCTAGGTATTTCCAGGTAAACATATATCCCCAGAAAAACATATGCCGAATTAATCATTTGTTTGTGACCTGTAGTTAACTCTATAAATAATAACGCTGTTTGCTTCTTCACAAATAAATAAGTGATGAAGAAAAACGTGTCAAAAAGAAAAACGGCAGTCAGTATGAATTTTAAAAACCGGAAACTATTCGATTCTTCGTTTTTTATCAGAAAGCTTAGCAAAATTAAAACCCACTTGAATCCATTTTCGTATGATTTAGAAACTTCCTGTTGGTACGTGGTTTTTGATACGGATAGATGGCAGAGAATGGAATGTCAACATCACAGCAGACACTGGTATAAGAATAGACTTCCAGTTGATACAGACAGACGGTACCGGCTTCCATACAATTCTGGACCGAAGTCCGATCGCTGGTAAGGTCATGTTTCCTGTCAGAATACATCTGTAAACAACAAAGTCTTGAACGTTTACATCATATTCAATTTTTGTACTTTCTTAAACTAACATATTCTCCTGTATATCGTTATAGAAAGTATTTACGTCAATAATTCTAACATGTCCTTAAATGATTTCAGTTGTCCATAGGCCATTGAACCCCGTCGTCCATCGCTACAATAAAACTAAGAGTTTTTATATTAACCATCCCTACAAAAAGAAAATTAATTTTAATATCAAAAGGATGACAAAACAATGTTAGAGTTTTTATAATAACCTTGACTACAATAAGGAAATATTATGTACTGAATATAACCACGTCCATACATTAACATTAGGATGTTTTAAAGTATATTCTGAGTTGGCCTTATGTCATTATCTTTTGATCACAGAGCAAGGACTGGGACCTCTGTTATCGCTAATGGCCAATCTTACATGCACTTTCTTTGATGTTATTGTTATAAGCTACCAGCCATGAACACACACATCTTGAAAATAAAAAAAAAGATATTTCATCTTAAATAATCATTCATCCGAATTCAGAATATGTTCTTAGTGAAAACAAGTTTATTTTATGTTTAAGTTTGCACTTTTTTTATCATTAGTTAATGTATTATTTACCTAACTTTAACTTAAGTTCTTTAATCTTCATGTATAATGCTTATCTAATGTCTTTAGTATATTTATATTTGTACAGGACGAATGTACACGCTTGCGATAATAGCCTCAAATATCGACTCGAGTTTCACGGCGTCGTCTTATTCTCTACATGACGAGGAAGGTGACCTAATAGCAAATGCAACACTCAACATGTCATTCACACATGCAAGGAGTATTGGGTATGCCGAAGTAACGATTCCATCGTCGGTATGTATGACACTGCCCTTCAAGCTAAATGTGTATATTAGTATGCAAGAGTCTCTTAATAATAAATAAATAATATACAACATTCGATATAGCGCCATATCTAGCTACATATATATTTACATTCTTGATGTTTGTTCTGTACCTGAATCAACAAAGTAAAAACAACTGCCATTATACCATGAATACAACGATTCTCGTGCAACCAGTCAGCTGATTTCACACACAATGATAATTTCATATTACTAGAATAGTACCGTTTCTGAGAAGAGTTATCTTCCCTCCTCCAATTACGTAGTTGCAAGAAATAATAATAATCATTACAAAAATAAAAATAAAATGTTGCACCATTGTACTTTATAAAAAAAAATGAAATTTGAAATTCAAAAAATAAATTATTATAACTTTTTAATATTAAATACTGACTTCCGACTCGCAGCCGGTTCCTCGTGGTCACGAACTTTCTAACACCCAAACGTCCGGCTGGGTAATCTCCGTGACATCAACTTGCACATCAAACCCAGAGAACTTTGTAACGACACAAGGGACTTCATCCATCAACTTATTATCATTTACATCTTCAACGGCTGTACATTTAACTTCAAATATGCTTTATGCCTGCTCCCGACAGGTGTCCTGGATGCTAACTATGGTGACCGATGATTTGAAATAGTGCGGACATTACTTATTTAAATATATAATATGCATTGCTTAAAAAAAACACCCATCATATAAGATCAATTTTCAAAAATGAAAGGAATATAAACTGATCGGCGGAAGTCGAACATTTGAAGTTTGTGTGTAGGCAGGAGTTCTGGCTGTTCCATTTTTATGGTTTTCTGTCCGATACTAGTATTAAATTTACAAAAAGTGTTTTTTTTTTTATTGTAGTTCATCGTAACGTACATATATGAATTGAATGGATTTTTTTTCATGTACATTGCGCAATGTATAGCAGTAGCTGATTAACATATCTTCTGGAGAACGCTCCACAGGATATGTAGATCAGCTACTGCTATCCATTGCAATGTATATAAAAAAATCCATTCAATCCATATACGATTTATACAATCAATGCAATTAGCATATACATTAATCAATACAATTTTGGGGAATTCGTAGGAGTTGCCTTATCAGGCGCTAACTACTAGTCCTATGTTGTAAAAAGCAACAAATATGAACCCCCCTGCGGAAGCAATGGTACTTTTTTATGTTTGAGAAGCGCGACGAGACCAAAAACTGCTACATATATTGCAAAAAGATTGAATACCTGTATATGCATATTTCCTCTCTTTGAAATCTCCTTTATATTCTTTTATGTTGGTGGCGTCACCTCGTTTTAGCCCGGTGTTAGAACAGCGTGACCAGACAGAAAGAGTGTCGCCATGCTTCCGAGCCCAGTTTGAAAGGTTTTACTGCCATATAGATTACCATTGAAACGTCATCATATGATTTAAGATGTTAAACAAAATCCCTTAGAATGGTTCAATATCACAACACACGTCATATAGAGAAAGGAATACACATCACAAATAAACAGAAATAAATACAAGATAAAGAGTCCGATGTTTAGGGCAAGAGAGGGAGACCTCATAACATCATACCAATAATTACATGAAAAAGCACCAAGTTTAGGGACCAGGGAGGAAGGCATCTCAAACTATATTTATTGTCCTATTTGTGATGCCTTCTTCCTTGAGTGGTAGATAGGCCTAGACGTCACAAGTTTAAACGCCACCACCGTGTCTGTCATCTTCCATAGCAAATGTTAACAATCTACCGGAAGTGTGCGCAGCAGAAATTGGGGAAATCCCTGTCGCTTCGATATTTAAGTCGATTTAATTATCTACTGATATCTAAAGTGTATAATATTGTTTGAATAATGAGGAGATTGTCTTCTAATTTCAGCAGGTATATAATATGTATAGGTTCTTAGAATAATTCAGGTAATGATTCACATGAAATATAAATATGACGTCTGTCGGAATTCCCGTTTTTCTTCCTTTTCATTGGCTAGAAGTTAACGACCCAAATCCCAGCCGGCGGCTCAAATATAATAGCAATAAATTCTGGGTTAGTCAAAAAGGCAGGCACCACAAAAATAATAATAATAAATGCCAGGTAAGTCAGAGAGGCAGGTACCACAAATATAATAGCAATACATACTGGTTAAATCAGAGAGGCACGCATCACAAATATAATAGCTATAAATACCAGGTTTGTCAGAGAGGTAGGCATCATAAATATAATAGCAGTAAATTCCGGGGAAGTTAGAGAGGCAAGCACCATCAATGAAAAAGCAATAAATACCGGGTAAGTGAGAGAGGCAGGCACCACAAATATAATAGAAATAAGAATCAGGTGAGTCAAAAATGCAGGTACCACAAAAATAATAGAAATACATATAGAGTTTGTCAAAAGGGAAGTCATCACAAAATAATAGAAATAAATACCGGGTAAGTCAAAAAGGCAGGCATCACAAATATAATAGAAATAAATACCGGATAAGTAAAAAAAGGCAGGCATTACAAATATAATAGAAATAAATACGAAAGTAAACGGCATTAATGAAAGGCAAGAGTACGATAAATAAAACATAATGATAGCAATAATTACAAGTAAAGACCCCAAGTCCAATTCAGGTAGTTCAATTTTAAATGGGACCAAGTTTTGATTTATAGGCTATATTGATTTTCGAAATATTATTCTTATGAAATATATAAAACTACATATTTTTAAAACTCAAACGAGAATTATGTAGCCGCTACCGAGAACTTATTTTTTTTTAAAATAAAATGTCAAAGCATTTATTGATGTATTTTTTATTTTGCTCTTAGATATTATCTATAGAATTGATTGATATATTGGATGTTAAAAGGTTCTTAAAAAGCCTTTTCTTGGAATGAAATAATATATTTTCTTAGCAATTGAAAATTTCTCTTATCTTCTTCGTGATATGTTATAGTAAATTGATTGAAATATGGCCGGAATGCTTAATATTGAGCCCCCACCCCC